GACAAAGTTAAGGCCAAGTATGATGTCCCGGCTGATGGTGGTGGCTCCGCTGCTTTTCAAGTGCTTTGTCGAGGTGGCCCTGCAGAATGTAAGCGTTGTCGACAATCTTAAGCTGGTTTAAGCTGGAGAGGGACGTCCAGGAGGAGGTCGTCAAGGCGGCAGCGTCCTTCCGTTGGGGGATCTTTTGCAGCAGGCCAACATCTCAGATGCGCACGGCACCAAGGCCGGGATCGACCAGTGGTCGTGAACCACTGGTCGATCCTGGCCTGGAAAAAAGTTGTCCGAGAATTCTGGGTCGAGAAGAAACCCAAGAAGAAACCGAAGTCCAAGTACATGGACTACCTGAAGGTGGCCGTGGCGGGCCCAAAAGGCTACCACAGCAGGGGCGATGCCCCAGACAAAGAGTACTTGGACTTCGGCTTCTTCTTGGGTTTCTTCTCGCCCCGGAATTCTCGGACAACTTAGTACATGGACTACCTGAAGGTGGCCATGGCGGGCCCAAAAGGCTACCACAGCAGGGGCGATGCCCTAAACAAAGAGACGGAGCTGCTACTGGGGTTCCGGTGCCTCCAGCCGGCGCAGGCGGTCCTGCAAAGCATCACGAGCACCACAATGGCCTTGCGCTGTTGGTACTGCGTCTTCTACGTCCTGGGCGAGACCAAGGAGGCCCTGCAAAATCAGGCTACATGTGTTCGTGCAGACGTTTTTGAACTTGGTGCAGACGCTGCTTGGAAAGAGCGGCGAACGCTTCAGCAAAGCAAGGTACTCAAGATTCATGATTCCTTTGCAGCCCTTAAAGTAAGTTTTGTATTCCATAGAAATTCACCCTGCGTGGGGTTTTCCATGCATTGCGGGCCCCAATTATAGACCTCAGTATACACTGTTGCTATGATCGTGGAGATTTCTTCCAAAAGGGCACCCCTCACTCTTGGAAACCCCTGAAATTTCGACTCATTCTTTTGTAACGGCGGTTAGCACAGCCAGCGTACAGTGGCTGTTGTTTTCCTCGTGCTACCGTTGCATGTTGACTAACTGTGCCTGTCACCCCATCTACATTAGTTTTTGTATTGCTTCTTCTGCTTTTTTGCATGGGCAATGAACGCGGGATTGTGCTGACTGCCCTGAAGCCCACAAGCCGTGTACTGGACCCATCAGGACTTTGTCTACGACCTCGTGGCCGTGGGCGCAGGTGCCGGCGGTCTGGTCTCTGCGAAGCTTGGCTTTATCCAAGACGATTATTGTCTTGTTGGTTTCTTAGTAGTCGTCGCATTCTACATAATGATTCCCAGTTATAGTATTTTTATAGTTCAAGACCTTCCTGCTTAGGGAACTCGCAGGAGGCGTGTCATTCCCGGATTACCAATTACACAAGGTAGTGCAAGAGCCCGAAGAGTCGCGCCCAAACCCGACTCCCGTTATTTAGCCCCTGCATTTGTATGCCGTCAGGAAGCAGTCTGCCCGACGCGGCGCAAGAAGTGCCCTGATCGAGCAGTGCCCTGGCTTGTTGTTTTTTATTTGCAGGGTTCCATAAAGTACGGGTCCCGCTATATATTATCACCAGAATCTCTCTCGTGAGCATTGCCGAAGAGAGACATAAAATCAAAGAAAGACCATTCTTTTTTCTGGAAGCCCACCTTTCTGGCACACGATACTGCTGGAGACCCAAGTTCAACATGTATGTACACATTTGAGATTTTTTTGGTACCGTGTATACTTGATGAGCAATCTGACTGTCTCACAAATGTCGCTGCCTGCATGCCGTGAAGTTCTTGATAAGGTTGTCTGGCTGGGAGGGGCCATAATCTGCGGTTTTTACACGTTGGCGGCACGTGGCTCCCGCTTTGCGACTCTGACAAAAGGAAGTCCTCCCAAGATCTCAGCACCCCAGAATTAACCCAATGGTAAGGGCAGAACACTTCAAGATTTCAACCGTCAAAAAAGTATTCTTACATCAGTGAGGTGGATTGCTTAAGAGTCCATGCCGAAGTTCCAAATAGCAAGAGGCTTTTTCCCTGACCCTCGATTGGAGAAGCGATAATAATGTAACTGTTTCCATTTTCTTTTCCTTTATCCCTATATTACCCCTATATAACCCCAACGTAACCCCAATTGAGGCATCTGGCTGGAGGAGATTGTCTGACGCTACTCGAGAATCAGGATTTCAGAGCGAAGCAGACTCTGGCTTAGTGTAGGCCCGTATATAATATAGTATATTAGTATATATATTATGGTAGATTATGGTAAATTATAGTATATTATAGGTAATGTAGAACCCTGATTAATAAACCCCATCCCCTTAATCGGGATTATAATTGAGATCTTAACATCAAGGCCCTCAAAAAGAGGGAGTTTATTAATCATGGGTTTACATTCGGGATCCGACCGACATTTGCTGGGCCGAAAATCATGTTCATGCGAATGGCAATGAGAGTGCTGAGTGGGACTTACACCCTAAACCCTAAACCCCTTAACCCTAACCCCTAAACCCTAAACCCCTAAACCCTTACCCCTTAAAACCCTAAACCCTAAACCCCTAAACCCTTACCCCTTAAAACCCTAAACCCTAAACCCCTAAACCCTAAACTGGCCTAAGGACTTGAGAGCCAAGGTCTGGCTTGGACCAGGATATATTAGGTGGACCCCCCACCCAGTAATAGTGACTATAGGGGATAATAGGGTTTAGGGTTTAGGGATAATGGTAATTATATTAGGGTCCTCCTATAGTCCCATTATACCACTATTACAGGGTGGGGGGGTCCTCCTAAAGGATATAGTTTTGTGTAGTGAGCCCTGTTGTGGGGGATTGGGGTAACCAAAGCCCTTGGGTTAGGGTTTAGGGATTTGGGTTTAGGGTTTAGGGTTTTTGGATTCGGGTTTTGGGTTTAGGGTTTGGGGTTGGGCTTTAGGGTTGAGGGTTTAGGGTTCACAGTGATTCTGCTGGCTGACACCCGGCTGGCTGCAGGCACCTCAGAGAGTCCTGGTTGAAAAAAGGTTGAAGGGCTTGGGCAATCTTAAGCGACCCTACCCGACCTCACCCCGTTTGGTGGTTTGCATAGGGAATAGTACCAAAATGGCCTTAAATTGGGAATTGAAATTATGTCAAGTTACCCTGCCCCTTATCTTACTGGTTCTGAGTAGGGAATACTGGAATAACGTCCCCATATCATCCAGATATAATTGTACATTCCTTTCTTTCCTACGAACTCCCAAACCTACACCCCAATCCCTCTATGGATATGTAGCCCCCATATACTATATTCCCTTATTCTCTGCTAACTCCCAGTAAGTTAGGGAGGCGGAGCAGGAGGCTTCGGGACCCCAGTGCGCGGAGTGTTTGAGGTGTCCTTATTCGTATATTGCTTTCTTACTCTACTACTATATTACTGTATTAGTGTACCTCTCTATTTCTATATTACTATAGTGTGATATTTGTATATTGCTATACTACTATGTTACCACAATGCAAACATCGAAATGCAGCCCAGGAATGTTGGCTGTGTGCCTTCGAAGGCATTGCTCCTCGGTTCGTGAGTCGAACGCAAGAGGTGTCCGGAAGCAAGTAGTTCTTCATATTAATCCCATCCCCAAAACGGTACAAACCGCCCACTGTCTAATACTTCTAACTTTTCATTGTGGTATACCAGAAAAGGTAGAGAATGTTTTGCTGTTAGGGGAGGGATGGTCACAAGATGGGGAATGAGTGAGCCACCGTGAGTAATCCCCTCTCCCTAAGAAGGCCCCCAACAGCCCTTATAGTTGCCGTTCAAGAGGTTATAGGGGTTTGTAAGTGTATATGCGCTACAATCCTTGAATAAACACTCCCAAGAGGATGCCGTTATAGATTAGGGGGAGCGCTCATTATCAAAGGGCTTGGGGGTTTGTTATGGGGTCAGAGATTAAGCGACCTATTTCGGAAAAGCTCCACTTAGTTGTGCTTAAGTGAGAGTGAAAAAGTGAGGCACTACAGCAGTACGGATCCTTCTGGCCTCCCCAACTGGCTCTCAAGAAGCAGTAGGTATAGTAGGTTCAGGGTTCATCCTCCCACCCTTCTGTTCAGCCTTGTAGGGATCCCTGGTTTTACAGCTCCATCTTTCCATACCCAACCAAAAGAAACCATTTTGCACTATCAAAAGCACATGTTCATATGGTTCCCGAAGCCCTGTGCACAATAAACCCTGAACCCCGTCCACACTAAGCCCTCAACCCTAAACGCATTCATCCTTCAACTCTGAACAGTAAGAATCTCCCTGGGCTTTGAGACCCAAGGTTGCGGTGTGCCCGCGCCATAGCAGAAGTGCGACGCATGGACCTTTGGGGTTTCGGGATTTGGGGTTAGGGTGACGTTTGGGGTTCGAGGATTTGGGATTTAGGGTTTAGGTTTGAGGTTTGAGGATTTGGGGTTCTGGGTTGTGTGTGTGGTTCTTTCGTAAAGCTTACGTCATTATTGGGTGCCGTGGGCCGCCTCTTCGCCAGGAAATCCTGGCTCACAACCAGTTGTTCTGGGTTTAGGGTTTGGGGCTGGGGTTAGGGTGTAGGGTTTTGTGGGGGGATTCATGGTTTGGAAGAATGAGAGGCAAGGGTTGCAAGAGCAGGGTCAGGATTTTAGAGAGGACCTTCGATTCTACTTCAGTGTTTGTTAAGGATGCTATGGGTCTTGGATTTGGATGTAATTTAGGACTTGCGCGCTTATTAGACGGGCATTGCACCAGTTTGAGATTCGAATTTGCAAGCAGAGCACTGCGTGCCGTATTGACTGAAGACTATGAACCAGCCCCAATCAAACGGAGCCATGTGGGAAACCACCAAACTATTTCCTCGGCCCCCTCTCCCTAATCCACCGACATTTGAAGAAGGACTTGGGCTTCACGTGTGGGTCGCAGGCAGGACAAGGGCTGGAAGATGGGGGCACAAACAGACCAAGCCCTGGCGCTTTCCCGCAATTGCTCCATCAGTTTCAGTAGAGCTGCTCAAGTTTAGTTCGATAGTCTTGCATATTCTATGATTAACTATTGGACGGAGCCAACATTTACGATATGTCCACATTTTGGCACCTCACTTGTTATGAATCTGAACTTCGGAGATGATGAGCTGCTGCAACTGCACATTGTGCACGCACCTTCTTCTACCTCCAGCTTGCAAACCGGATACTAGCGGATTTTGATTCCCGCCTAGCGGATGGTATAACGCTGTTTAGGGTTAACGGTTGCCAAGAAGCTGAGGGTCTCACGTGGTCATCTCAGCCGTTGTGGCGCAAACATGCAGCACGGACTGGCGAAGCAATCGCCTGCCCCAAAAATCCAAATCGGACCTGATATCATTCAAGGTTCCCTACGACATGGCATACCCCGATCTATTTAGCAGTCACCCTAAAACGTGAGCAGGAGTTTTAACATAAGGGGAGGTCAATGTTCCAATTATGCAACCATCCTTGAGTCCATGTTAGGGGCCCTTTACATGCTTTCGCGGTAGCGCCTTTCGCAGATCTACACAAAGGATACTTTTCGGTTTGCAGGTGAATGGGGACTCAGATCCTAATGCAAACTAGAAGCTGTAAACCAAGACCCAACTAACCGCCTGTACCCAGTCAGCTCGTCTGGAAAAGCAAACTTGTCGGCAGCAGGGACAGTGAGACACGCAAACGTTGGCCAAACACAGCGGTAGTTGTAGAACGGCTGGTTTCCTGTTTATTCAAATGACGCCCCTGCTTCACTCGTGATGAGGACTTGGCCGGGGAAGCTCTCCTTGGCTGATTGAGGGAAGCAATGTTGACATGAGTGTGTGAGCCGATCAAGCATATCAGAAGGGAGTCGAACAGGATAACGGAATTAGCGCACTTGAAAATTCAAATCGAACAAAGTTGATTCGTTAGGTACCTACTGCCAATTGTTAGCTGATGACATGGTCGGCGGTTTCGGGAAAGATCATGTTTGATTCGGTTCGTGGAAACTAAATTCCTCCTGCGTTCTTCGGTCTGTGAGGCAAGCGAAATCGGCGTTTTCTCGCCGTGGAGTTTCTATTGTACTAGCGGAAGCATGAAGAGGCATAGCGTTGATAAGAGTCAGTAAAGTGCTTGCAAACAGCTCGATACTCAAGAACCCACGTCCTTGAAACCCAAACCCCCAAACCAAAGATAGGTATATAGGGAAATACCCAAGTTGTGATCAGGTAACGGTCTATACCCATGACAGACAACACATTGACCTAGAACCAGAGACCTATATGCCAGGCCCGCATCGACTTCGCAAAGGTCATGGAGCGCATGCGAAAGCTCCGGGCGGACATAGCACCTGCTTCTGGGCTACATGCACATTTCTTGAAAGTAGTGCGGGCTCTTGGTTGCCCAAAGCATGATAGTCCCAACCAGAAGACCCCGAAAAGTGCCCTAGCACTACCTGTTAATTTTCAGAAGGGCCTTCGTTGCAGAGTATGAACTACTTGTGAGTGTCCTTCCGCGGGGCCAGAGATACTCTTTCCTTCATCACACAGGCGTCACAGCCATTCCTAAGTGGGTAGAAGATAGGGAGGTAGGGAATGTATCATAGGCCTTTCTACCTAGGATTCTCTGTACTATATACATCAGCAAAGCAGCATCGCTGCTGGATGCAGAATTGTTCATTGACTCCTCATAAACCGCCGCATGATGGTCTATCTGTCTTGCTCTTCGGACAGAATTAGATTTCAATGTTTTGCTTAGTTAGTGGCCTTGCACTTGGTAGGCGTTAGGGTTGCTTACATGCGGCCCGACAATTTGGAAGCCAACTGCAAGATGTGGAGTAGAGCGACCCATGCGCAGGTTGATTCCCACGAGACCTCCAAGCAAGTCGGCGTGGATGTATATATGGGCACCTCCACGTTTACTGGAAAGAACGAGCTTCAGGTGGGTGAGAAGAGGCTGAAATTCCGAAAAGCTGTCATTGCCACTGGGGGACGAGCCAAAGTCCCTCCCATTCCAGGCCTGGGCTCAAATTAAGACACCTTAACATCATGGGTTCCCCTACTACTCCCCCTAGGTTCCCCCCCTTAATTACAGTTATCTATGGATAATTAAGCTTAATTAAGGATAGGGGAACCCATGGCCCATGAGTAACAGGCATCAGGGATTATTAGGCTTTAGTCCACGCCCTCCTTTTTCCAGGCTTAGATCAAGTGCCATACCTCACCAACGCGTCGCTGTTCAATCTTTCAGAGCTACCACCTCGATTCCTCGTGGCTGGGTTGCTGTTAAGGATCTTAAACTAAGTTACCATAATGGGTATATATAGTAAATAATAGGGTTTCCCCAATATAGTAACTTGAATTAAGTTCCTTAACAGCAACCCAGGTGGTGGGTGCAGGGCCCATCAGCTTGGAGATGGCCCAGGCCTTCCAGCGGTTTGGGAGCCAAGTGACCGTTTTGGAGGCCTGGGGCCTTGAGAAAGTGGTGTTTTCTTGGATGAAGACACGATTTCTGGAGGGTTTAGGGTTTAGGGCGTTTGGACGGCACACCTCATCTTTCGAAAGTTCGAATCTCGCAAGAGGGCCCCAGACTCCAAAATAGGAAGCCCTATAATCCCCTCATTTAAGGGATTTTAAGGGGAACCCTCTTCGGGTTCCCAGTTTGGGGTTCCCGTTTAAAGTTTAAATCTCTTTACTCACGGGTCTCTAGGTCAGACAGTGTCAGGTAGCCCCCCAGATCATGGGCTTAGAAGACGACGACGCAGCCCAACTGCTGCGCGAAGTCTTAGAAGAGGAAGGAGCCTGCGTTGTGCTTAGCATCTTTTTGTTTGGGGGGGTTGGGGGGGATGGGGTGTTGTAGAGATTCATGTAGGGCTCATACAGGGGTCATAGAGGTGGAGTTTTGTTGTGAGGTTTCTCCGACTTATCGCAGTATCTAAGCTGCTAGAGTCACTCTTTGCAGGGAGGTTTTTTCCTCTACCCTTTTTGCTTAGCAGCCTTAGCGGCACTGAAAGGCTTTGTCTCGGGAGTAATTGTCAACCCAGGAGTTCAAATCCACACCGGATGCAAGATCTCCTCTGTGTCCTCCACGCAAGCGCCAACAGCCAAGGAGCCAAAGTGGACAAGGGATCTCCACAAAACCATCCCCAATGCATTCATCATGGACTATGCGCTTAGTAAAGATCCTGTAAGCAAGTTAAAAAAAAAAAAAACACAGCATCCGAGTGGTAGGTCTTGTGTTAGCAAGCGAGAGGTTCATCGGAGAAAGTATCGACTCGAATGCAAATTAAGGGGCTGTTGCGGGTAGTAAAGTTTCCATTCAACCATGATCTGTGAGTACGAATTTAGTGGCTACCCGTCCTTTTGAATAGGGGTTTGGCTTGCAGGGGTGTGGTTGTCGCAGACGCATGGAGGAATGGCCAGAGATTCGCGTCAGTATCTCTGGCGACAGCGGGGAGAAGACCGTTGTGGGTGACGCACTGCTTATTGCAGCAGGCCGCGTGCCGAACGTAGAGGGCCTGGGCCTTGAGGCTGCCGGCGTGGACTACACCCCTGGTGTGGGCATCAAAGTTAGCGACGACCTCACAACCTCAAACCCTGACATCCTTGCCAGTTGAATGAAATTACTGGTAGCTTTTGCTTGATCATGCAGAACCCTTTCGAGTGAATCATTAATCAGGCTCTGGATGTGACGGGTTACTAAGGCCATTGGCGATGTCATTGAGCGGCCGGACACAAGATTCACGCACATGTCTGGTACAATGGCTGGCATGGCGGTGCAAAACGCCCTGTTTCCCGACAAGGGCCTGCCGGTGAATGCGCCTTCCTCGAAGCTGTCCGAGGCGAGGAAATCAAGATGCTGTGCGCCTTGTCGTAGGCGTCTATCGTAAAGATCTAATGCCGTGGGCGAGTGATAATTGGGAATACTGGATAGAAAATGGAAACTACTATAGTATATTGAGGTTTATATATCAACATTATAGTTACTGGGGGTAAGGCGCGTGGAGAGCTGGCTCAAGGGTCAACCCTACACCCAACGCGACTGATGCACGCACAGGCCACCGCAAACAGTTTTGCCTCGAACCATGGGAGCTATGGTCTAAACTCCTTAAGGGGGGTCATATAAGGATTGCATAGGGGAGTGTTATAGGGCTCAAAAAGGAGATACTAGAAGTTTAGAGTATAGCTCATGTTGACAAACCCGACAGAATTCAGAATTCCGCGCAGCACACATCAATCCACGAAAGCTCCACCGGAATCCTACGCGAAATCCTGTTGGATCCCTCCGTGGGTCCCTGAGAGCAACCTTATTTTGGGACGCTCGCCCAAAAACATCACCCTAGGATACAGGTAGGAGAACACTCAAGTAACAAACAGGTCATAGCATATATCTCACTATAGTTGTTCCTATGAAGCAGCATTAGTGTGGAATGAGAACATGCCTACCTGCGGCTTCTGTGTTCTAGAGGCAGCCGAACACAAAATTGCCAGGTGGTAGTCCAGCGCTGCACATTCAGGGTTTAGGCTTTGGGTTTAGGGCTTGGGGTTTAAAGTAGTTCAGAATCCCTGTAGCTTCCATTTTCTTCTCAATTATCCCTATAGAACACCTGTATAATCTCCATAACCCCTGCAGCTTCCATTTTCTTTTCCATTATCCCTATATAACCCTAAACCCCTAAACCCTGTTTGGGTTTAGGTTTTAGTGTCAGGTGGTGGTCCCGCGGTGCACATACACGGAGCCAGAAGTTGCCTCCTGCGGCATCTCCAACGAGAAGATCGCAACGCGGCTTAGGGTTTGGAGTTTGGGATCTATTTGGGTGGTTGTCAAAATTATTGTTCCTTTGCTAATTTTGCTCCTGCAACACCTCCCGCTTATGTACCCCTACATACGAGAATTCTGATGAGACAGACTTCGGAGCGAGAGATTCCCTGAGTTCTGATACCGGTAGGGAACCCAGAGAGCCCGATGTAGTTGTGAGTGGCGGGAGAGGCGACGCGGAATCCATGATTTAAACTAGTGATTTCAGAGTGGTTGTGGAGTGATCTTTGAAAGTGAGTTCAGCCTAATCATAGCTACAGCTTGGAAGGTCCCATGTGTGCCAGTTCTCTTGAGTGATTTCGTCCTGGTCGTGAACAGTGATTATCTACTGATATTTCGGTCTGCTAGAGAAGACACCTTGTGATCAGCAAGCCTGGGCCGCGGACACGCATGGTTCATGCTTGTCCATTTTTCTGCCGCCCGCAGCAGAAGCAACAGGACCCTTATTAACAGGTTTAAGGTATATTCCTTCATTAACCTATGACTACTGGGCGCCCCGGGTACTCGAGACCAAAGTATCCTTCAAGGCAGCGAAGCAAGGCGCCGATGTGGAGGCGGGTATGTGAGGTTTGTCTCTTTGTACCTTACCTCTTGCTAGCAGGGAATGCAGAAATCCAAAACGGGAACTACCGTATTATTGGAGAGTACATAGGGGCTACTATAGGGAGCCAATCCTTCATTCAAGGTGAACAAGCAAAGTGCAAAGGAACGCAGGGACAGTGTTTGGGCCTCTTCCGGTTGTGCAAGCCTGATACAAGCTTTAAAACAGAAGGTCTCAAACTAATGATGTTTTCGCAAACGCTTCAGTTCAGGCAGCTGATGCTACAGAAGTTTCTCACAACACCTTCCATCTTATCGTTAAGAGGTGCCCCTTCATCCCTATGTACTCAAGCCCTGAACCCTATCCCTAAGCTCCACGAGGTGCCCACTTGTTTGTAGCTGAACCCACAATGTCGAGAGATCCTCAAGTTAATGTCCTCTTGGAATATCTCAACACGCACAGGTAAGACTTATGTGCATATACCGTGAGGGGGACCCCGGCACAGGAACCTCCAAGCCTGAGAGATCCAAGTTCGAAATCCTAAATGCAAAGCTCCAAAATCTGTCCGAGGCGTGTGCTGAAATCTTACACTCGCAAAATAGGAAACTGCCATCACATCGTTTGACTGGGATTCCGCGATATGCGTGCCTGCAGTGCGATGCACTTGTTGAAACGCTGAGCATTTTAGGAACAAAGAAGATCCAAAGCATAAGCTCGTTTGGGGGGATATGTCGGAATATCCCTACCTTCCGGGGGCTGGTTATACAGGGCTGTCGGTGGACGTTGCTATCTTCATGCTTGTGTTCTTTAACAGTGAATATTCCCCGGGGTATTAAATATTAGAGATTAAACCTTAAACCCGGAACCCTGAGCCCTCTGCAGGTGTACAAAGCAGGCTTGCAGCACAACGATCGCGCCATCCTTGAGGGCTCCAACAGACACTTGGAGAAGTTGTGGGATAGGGGTTTAGGGTTTAAGGGTGTATAGTCCTCCTTAAGTAGATAGAATATGGCTGTGGGTATATTATAACAAGATCCCCATATGCCATATACCCATATTCTATCTACTTAGGGGGGGCTATAACCCCTAAACCTTAAACCCTAAAATAGTAGCTTCTATTTTCTTTTCCGTTATCCCTATATGACCCCAATATGTTTAGGGTTTCCAGTTTAAGCAAGGTTCAGGGGTTGATGGCTTAGGGCTGCGGATGGAGGCAATCTTGCATCCCCCTTTTAAAAGCCCTAGGAAGGGTTAGGACAGTATGTCGGGGACACCAAGTGGTGCAAGATTCCTCCATCCATCGTAGGCTTGGGCTTGGGGTTGTGGAATTTAGGGTTTTAGGTGCGCACGAGGCATTTATCCAAAACCGTGGTTCCTCTACTGTGGGTTCGCGACAGGATTTTGCTATCATTTCGGGGCATGTAGGAAGATCAGGGTTTGGGCATAGATCAGAGGTACCTGGGGCGTAACAGGGATGAGAACATGGATCTCTGTAGTAGGCCCACGCGAAACCCTGAGATCAGTCTTAGTCATCCAGCCCCCCTGTCCTACCAAGCGCCTCCGCCTAACAAGCCCCACCGACCCCGAGCAGTAAGTCTTCAACTGATATATGGTAGTTTCCATAAATGAGGGGGACCCCAATATAGACCCCTACACATATTTTAATCCTCATTATTTGACTGGGACCCCCAATATGGTATCCCTACTTTCCGGAAACCCCCATATGACGGTACCATATCAGCAACGTGTTTAGGTGGGGGTGAGGTGAGGGCGGATCAAGCGCCATTGAGCCTGAGGACGTTTGGGGTGACTGGCTTGGGCTGATGCATAAAGAGTTTTCAAAGAGCTTCAGTCATGGCATGAGAATTCAGGTTGGCATTCTGAAGGGTTGAAATACAGGTTCAGTGGGTTTGAATTTGTACTCAGCAGAGAGAGTCCCTTTGATTTTTAGGGTAACGTCCCCCTTAAGTAGATAGAATATGGCTTTGGGTATATTATAATAAGATCCCCATATACCCCATATTTTATCTACTTAAGGGGGACTATAAGCACAAAGGAAGACTGGAATAAGCCCACAGACGAGAGCGCCTCCCTTGAGACATGAGAGCTTTGGCTCGCTTCCTCACAGGGCAGGGGTTCTTCAGAAACAATGAGCACCTTGCATCCTACAGGCATAGCAAGTGGACCAACTACGCCTTGGGACTATCACTGCACATCATCCTAGAGTTGAGTTGCTTAGTCTGCCCACCTGGGGACTGTGCGCCATCAGCTCATCTCAGATATGCTGGATTTTCTCAAAGAGTGTGCGTCTCGACCCATACCAAGGAGGCTACGTGAAGATCGTGTGCCGAAAGGGCACTGAGGACCTGGGGACTTCCTGCCCAGCCTTGCAGACCTTGCAGTAGACAACTAGCGCATTAACAAGATGGCTGTGCTCACCCGGAGAGGCTGTGTTTTGAGTTCGAAGACGCTTGTCTACAACGTCTGAAATAACAGCCACAAGCAATACAGCCCGACTTTCACTTGGCTACCCATTTATTGTTGTGAAGCCCTCCTGTTGCTTTAGGGAACTGTGGACTTTTTGTTTCCGCCTACAATTTTAACATAGCGTCAAAGTAGACTTTTCCGCCGATAGAAGCCAGCTGGAGGGTCTGTGTGCCACCATACCAGCCCCAACCGAGCTGCACAGCAATTCCATCCCCGTAGGGTTTAGGGTGTAGGGTCTGAGATTGTTAAACGCCCCAACCGCCGAAAAAAAAGAGAACCTGCCCTGTTTATCATCTTGTCTACCACAAAGGGGATATTTAGTATTGGGGGTGGGTCGAGTCTCCCCTCCTTTCATATTCCCGTCCCCTATATCATCCCCATATAACCTCCTTCAAGGAGTTTAGACAAACCCTAAACCCTAAGGCCCTTGCAAGCAGAGAGCTTCTCACCGGCCGAGACCTCAATCCAGAAGTCTCTGATCCGTTCATTCATGATAGGTCCCATGAGGCAGGTTGTATATGGGTCATACAGGAGATATCCAAGGTTATATAGGGTATACAAGGATATACAGGGTCTCGGGTATGATAATCAAGAATCACATGGAAAATGAACATGCTGGGTTTGAACGGCGCTTGGCACCATACCCCATGAGAGGCTAGAAAAGCGTCGTTGGTATTCACAGATTGCTTATAGCTTGGCACTTGTGAAGCTCTGCATACAAAGTCCTTGAAGAGTTTTGCGAAGCATTGTGAGCACTCGGTAAGAACTTCTTGGGGTTTAGGGCTTGGTTGGAGTTTTCGGTGGTTCGGGATTTCAGGGCCCCACACACTAAACCCCTGTGAAGTTACGCGCTAGGAATAAGCCAGCTATGGCTTGGTAGTAACCCAAAAAAAGTAAGTACAAGAGAGGCTCTGGGTAAATCACGAGCTTGCTTTGCTCTTCCTACTGTTGGCTAGTAGGGAATTAGGGAATATAATCCCTACATAGTCCCTTTATTATGCCTTCCATTGTTCCTACTAACCCCAAACCTTCAGCCCTAAACCTCAATCCCTCTATAGATATATAACCCCTATATACTACATTCCTTACATTCCCTTCTTTTCTGCTAATCCTGTGAAGGAGATCCTTGGGGCGACCGTTGTCTGCGAGGGAGCGGGCGAGATGCTGTCAGAAATCACGTGGCTAGTCGAGCAAGATGGCATCTTATTTTGGTGTTGGGTTTAGGGCTTAGGGTTAGGGTTTAGGGTTTTAGGGTTAGGGTTTAGGGTCTTCCCCTGCACGGGGGGTACTCTGATCGTGAGTGGGGCCACAAGAGTTCTACGAAGGTTCTCAAAGGACCACATAGCGGGATACACACGATTATTTGCTAGTTCAAGTGGATAAGTTGATCACCATAGAATTCTCCTGAATTTGGCTACAACTCTAAGTCTCCTAGCAGTCAAGCTTCCAGCTAGCCGTGAACCTGCAAGTAATGCGCAGGATACTCTCCAAACGCGACATAGCAGAAACAACTGCCCAATCACAATAACAGAGCAGCCTAAGAGCGTTTTAGGCGATGTAAGCACAGCCCTATATATGGCCCCGCCCCCTGAAAGGAGCCCTCCAAACCCGAATCCACCAACACACCCCAATAGCCCCGCACGGGCCCCTAATAATCCGCAGAGGGATGCAATAGTCGCTCATAGAGGTTTCGAACATGGGAGGCTCCGTTTAGGGTTTATGCGTGCGCCTTGACTTCTTTTGCGAATTCAGAAACATGTGGATATATGTGGATTGAGAAATATAAAGATAATCTGTTTTGGCTGGACTTACACCTACCAGGAACTGCCTGTGAACCTACGAGTGCGAAGGGGTTATCAGGAACACAGAGTATGATTTCAACGCTAAAGGTTTGAAGGAAGAAAGTGTACAGGCGGCTTAAGGAAAGTATATAATCCACATTTACATATCCCTGTATACCCCTTCATATCCTATATATACCCCTATATATCCCGTATATATCCCTATATCTCCCCTGATTATGCTCGTCTACTAGGGGCTTAGTTAGCTCTAGGTTGTCTCTTGTATGTCGCTTGAACACGTGCAACAAGTCAATCTGCGAGCATTTTTTTTGCAGATTTTGCGGGGACGGTCAACAATAATCCCCTCCCCCGAACCCCGCCATTGTGGTATATCGTAATCGGTTGGGAATACTTAGTATCAGGGGGTCGGGGGTTTAATGTTAGGGAGGGGGAAGGGAATTACCCACACGCTGCTGCCACTCCCGCAAACCATCGCACAGCACAATTGCGCGGCAGTCAGAGGCACAAGCCAGGAGCTGTGGCGTCAGCTTGTAGTGCTGACTACTAGGCTACTAGGGTGGCTGGTTTTTTGCTGCCAAGACAACTGTCGAGACGAAGCTCCTGCATGACCTTACAATATGATACAATACTGGGTAGGCCCCTGGGATATTTGATATTTTCCCTAATGGCTTTAACAAGGGACCCTATATACTAATATTTTCAGAGGGTTTTAGCGGCCAATCCAGAATACTATAGTTGTCAAGGTATGACGTGTTCAGGGTCATGCAGGATTGTAAGCATCCGCCATAGGAATACTTCCGCTCTGCCAGCCCTCAGGCTGGCCGTGCAGCACGGCCTGGGCCTCTCACAAGTGGATGCAGCCTCAGTTGAAGGGCTTCATTTGAAACTGCTATAGAATATGGGGGTTAAATAGATGGCTGTCTTATACCTCCGGTTTCGCTCGTTCACTGATTTATCGAGCAACCGTTGCCTTAGTCCCACACGCCCTCTCACCATGCTCAGGTAGACTGCCGCAGTAAATTGGTAAGGCCATGGTGCTTTGAGTTCCTACATTAAAATTCGAGTTGGCAATTGGGGACAGTTGTCGTGTTGCCTCCTCGTTTCATATCGGGACGCGGCCGTAAAAGCGCAACCCAGAACCAGAACTCCTTGGGTAAGGCGCGCACTGTGCACCCATACCCCACAATGGGGGAAGCCATCCAGCAGTGCGCCTTGAACTACAATCGTGCGCGCTGGGCCAAGCTGGAGAAGAAGGACTCTGCCACTCGGTGGGTAATTTATGGCAAAAAGTAGAAGAATGGATGCAGGTTGTTCTCCAACATGTTTTGGCAGGCCAAAGAGTGAGCAATATGAATACTGCCGATGGAAGACCTCCTCCGCATTCTATCAATATTGAGCAAGAGCCCACAGGTTCCGTTCTTTGACAAGGTTTGGTACACGGGCGGGTTGTTGTAAGGATTTGTTGGATGTTCCCCTGGTTTATTGCCATCATCCTCTCCGGCCATTGATGATGGTATGTGTTAGGAGGACCCCCCGCCCTGTAATAGTGGTATACGAGGAATATAATAGGATCTTAGTATAATCCTTATTATCCATAGTGGTCACTATTGCTGGGTGGGGGGTCCACCTAAGGTATGTGGTTCAGGGACTTTGGTCCTGGATTGGTTTGAAGCGGCCTAATTGATTTGTCACTGGACCTTAAACCAATACACCTTGGAACAACAAAAAAAAGGAGGCACGCCTCTTCGGTGATACCTTTTTTCAACCCAACTGAGGGGTCCCTCCCATGCGGGTGACATTGGGCCCCTGTTCATGGTTATGGGAGCTTCTTAAACCGCATCCTTACAATAACACTAAGCGTGACCCGAGAATTGTCTCATCGTTCTCGTATTTCTGACAAGCTGTCACGCAGCCCTAGGATGCCGGAGTCCCTAACTCCTGGAATGTTGTTCTGTAGACCCGAATAATCAATGCCAATATGCTGGTCCTAAGTTCTTGTATACTTATGGTCAAGGGTACTTCAAACAGACCTGAAAGAAGAGATTGCGAATGATTTAGGCCGTACAAGCATAAACTCATGGCATCCTTACTCATCCCTTTTCTCAACAGTCTTGTGGAGTGCATCACGGGTCCTGTGAGAGGCAACTGCGGTCTACTTCTTCTAACCCCCAAACCCTAGACTTCCGCATCCATAAGCTCTTAACCTCAATTACATTAGTAGTTTCCATGATCTTTTCCATTATCCCAATATAACCCCAATATATACATATATCCCATAATAACTCAGTTTCCATTTCATTTTCCATTTTCTTTTCCATTTGATTCTCCATATACCAACCTATAATATAACCCTATATACTATAGTTGCATTCAGGCCGGCTACCAGAAGTGAGAGGCTGACAAAAGATTGTTAAACAGTTGCAAGACAGGAGACATCGCAGGCACGAAGCATCTCTAACCTCGAGCAGGTAGGAGTAAGGGTTTAGGGTTTAGGGGATAGGAAGTGGGTTGGGGGCAAAACGGGTTGTCGGAACCAGGTAAATTTAGATTGTATTGTGGCTTATAACGATGCAGCTATACATGGCTGGTCTTTGTGCGGCTAATGCTTAACGTCTTGCATGATCTTAGGCCCCAAGTGCCCTATGCATTGGCAATTTCAGTATTCTAGTATACAACAGCTATGCAGAGTTTCGAGCATCAACAAAGAAACATGTGGAGCGTTGCTGCGTCTTTGCCATGTCAGACCTGGAGCCCAGGTATTGGTCTAGGACGTCTAGGATCAAACATCTATCAGTTCATAGTCCCCCTTGAGTAGATAGAATATGGGGTCTTGTTAGAATATACCCAAACCATACTATATCTACTTAAGGGGTCTGTAGGGCTTAGGCAAGGAAGACAGCTTGCCTCGACCCCACCATTTGCAAGAAGCGTTTTCTGGAGGGCTTTGATTGCTATTGGGACTTTGGGATACAGTAGGTCGTTGGGCTTGGAGTGCGCCGCAAACATTCCATTATCCTCTTCCTTTCCCATCTTGTTCTCTGTGGTTCTTATGATATTGGTAAGTTTTCAGGCCGCTAAACCCTGAATGATATATGAGCTATAGTCTAACTCCAAAAGGGGGTAATGTAGAAGGTTATATAGGGTATAATACTTGTAAGTGGATTACTAACAGTTTAGACTATAGCTCAAACAGCCTTACATTTGCAAGCCATGCCTCACTTGCAACTTGCTTTCCGAGTTGGGTTCGTCCGGAGATGTCTCATCGAAGGCCCATGGTACAGCTTGGGCCTTCATACAGCCATGGCAAGCCAGCAAAGGGGTCACACAGGGATATTATATGTATCTTTCGTTGGGGATTATAGAGCTCAACTTCAGGCTTTTCTTAAACTAGAAGATAACACTGGCCCAACTGGCAGGCTACAGACTTTTAACCGGAGAACCTTGAGCCCAAAGCTCGACCCTGAAATTTGGGCCGTTTTGCTACACTTTTCGCAGCTCGCACTTGGTGAGCTGTCTGTTTTAGCGGACTAAGGCTGCACAAGCAGCTAGCTGTGTCGGAATACCTTGCAAAAAGAAGGCTTGAGTCAGCACTTCACAGGTACATATGCTTTTGAATACTCGTGCGGTTTACTATTGAGTCCCTGAACCCTAAAACCCTAAAGAGTTCCTAAGCCCTACACCCTACAGAGTCCCTGAAGCCTCGACCCTAAATCCTCTACAAGAAAGAGACTCAACGTCATGCTGGCTCCTGCTTGCTACTCTGGGCTGTTGGGAGTTTGTCCAAATGAGCTATGGCCTAAACTCCTTATGGGGGTTAAATAGGGGATTTCTTAGGGGAGGTTTTGTAGGGGTTATTTGGCGGGATGCTACGATAGGAGTTTAGACCATAGCTCCATTGGGGGCTTGCAAAAAATCAGGGATCCATCCATCCAAATTCTGGAGCAGCAAATGGCAAAGAACATAGAAAAAATAGAAACTGGGACAAAGCCGTGGTTCTGGAGCAGGGCTCGCCAAAATTTGGGGGTCCTTTCATACATGTCTAGGCTGTCTAAAATGTCGCCAGATCCTAGAGCGACTCTTCCTATTGAAGAAGTAAGATGCATTTTCTTTGCCAAGAACTACGGAAAGAAGATTAGAATGGCTTTGCATGACCGCTTGTGCGTGTAGAGAGAGAGAGAGAGCGCGAGAGAGAGAGAGAGAGAGAGAAAGAGAGAGCGCCTGGTTGTGTGCGGCATAGATTATGTACCGTATCTGGGGCCTCAGTGTCGTCCGACTGACAGTGGACACTCAGCCAGCTCGTGGCTGTGTCGCGATCCTCCTCCTGCGGGGAGGGCAGAGGTGTAAGAGGGAGGGGAAGAAGAAACACTTCCCTCCATGATCCTTTCCGTTCGTGAGTTGAATGCCCACACATGTATGCATGAGCACGTCGTTACGTATGCAGGCACAGTTCCAAGGTCCGCCCAAACGCCCACGAAAATGCTGAACGATAGTGAAACAAGTCATGACAGCGCTCAGGACATTCGTGGCAGATCAGCGTAACTGCGAGAGTCGCAAAACTGCAACACGCAATCAGGGACAGCAATAGGGTGATGGAGACCGTCATTGCTAAACCAGTTGACAATTGATGCAACACTGTTTAGGTATCATGCTAGAACCTCAGGAAGCTCCGCGCCTTATCATAGCACTGATGCCAGGCCCCACTTCAACATAAGGATCTGCATTTGTTCGGAGTGTGCTTTTAGCCCTGAGGAGTCTGGCATCAGTTATGCAAGATACTTGTGCTTACATGCTTTAGGCTGTCACTGAGCCCTTACTTGAAAACCATATGTACCCCAAGCCCTGTATTCCCCTGAAAGGTCCACATGGAATCGCTTGTTGCAGAGGTGGAAAACCCTATAACCCACCCTGAAGAGCAGAGTTCCATGGAGAACAGGGTTGAGGTGAGGTCTTTTGCATGCCTAAGCTGAATTAGCCAAGGTCCCCGAGGCCTCCGACTGCGAGACTTCAGTCCGCTTAAAAAGAAACTCTATAACCGTAATTCCTCAACTTTATGTACTTTGTGGGCTTCCCTACTTTCAGGAGTGCCCCCAACTCGCAGAGCTACTTCAAGAGGGAGCCCTTGCTGGGACCCGCAGAGACTTCAAGTCATCCAGGGTTTGGAGTTTATTGGCTGTAAGTTTTTCTGGTTAAGGGTTTGGAGTTTTTCTGGTAAGGAACTCAAATTCAGTCACCCTAATATGGGTATATGGCCATTGCCAGGGTTTCCTTAGAATCTTATCGTTTAGACTCTTCGGTAGCAAGTGAGTTTAGCCCGTAAAAGGTCCTAAGGAAGGTAGTCTCCATGATGTTTACCTGAGGATTTCCATGAACCCTAAACCCTAGGGTTTAGGGTCCAGGCCTTTGGTAGACTTACCCGCCTAGGAGCTGCATATCATGGGCTCAGGGTATTACACCCCACTTAATCTTAGCTAGCCTTAAACAATCCTAACTAAGGGAGACTCTGCGGGGGTAGTATAGGGCAGAGTGGTAGTGGAACCCATGATAAGTATGACAGTATTTTGGAGTGGATCCTAGTATGTGGTACCTGTCACGCCTGTCGCTTTTATCAAGAGACGGGTGTCCATCGTAAGCCCTCAAAGGATAGGAGTCTTCTCACATGAGCCCTAATAAGAGGAAGCCCTAAAGCCTGAACCCTAGGAAGTGAACTTTCGTAAACAAGCTCAGAAGCTGTGAGGGTAATGCAGTTTACATTCGCTACGAAACCCTAGTGGTGTCTGTCGGGGTCGAGTGAGCGCCGATTAGGAGGCAGTTTCCACCGGCTTCGAAACTCAACAAACTTGTTTTCATAGGGGTCCCCTGCACAGGGGCCCTCCCACAGCCCTCTGACAAAGAAGAAGTAACAGAACAACTTACTTTCGTTCTACGAAACAGCACATCGACCAGATGCAACCTGAGCCCACGTGGCGGCTTGCGTCGAAAATGATCCCTGGGCGTTTTCTTAGCTAGGATGCAATGTGATTCAGCCGCTAGTTGTTAGGGCTTTGCATTCAGGTTAAGCGTATGGCTTGCGGAGAAACAGGAACTACTGCAATTGAAAGGATCGCAGGTCAAGGTGTCCAAAAGTTCCATTAGTTCTTACTTGTTCAGCTTTCAGAATGGTTTAGGGTTCGGGGTGTCTTGATGTCGTGCTCAAGTCCAACCTCACCAAAACACTCAATCCGTGAACCCTGAGATCAATGAGCATCTCTCAAAAGGAGGATTTCTTAAGTACCCCATAGCGAACGTGCCCTTCCCATGAGGAATCTTTCATAAGGGCCACATCGTTTGAAAAGCACTTAAACGCTCCGAATCTTTCCCTTGCGGTAGACCCTGTTTGGAGGGCCCGGAGGACTATCTGGGCCACAGGGGTCACTATCCCATTTATTTAGGCCCCCTGACCCTCCAAGAGAATCCTAAACTCTAAGGATTCTTGAGCCTTCAGCTCGCCTGAGGCCTACAAGAAGGGCTTCGGCCTCATGCGCCCTCCTCGTGTGCATCTCAGTTTCTGGCACGCCCGACCCAAAGATTCTACGGTAGCCCCCTCTGTTTGAAGGACAGTAGTCTGTAAAGGGCCTGTGGGGTTTTGTATGTTATTTTCTGGGAGGTGCCACTGTTTCGCTTTTGGAGGGGCTAGCTTCTACATGCAGCTGCAGAGACTTCTCTTTGATAGGCTAGGTTGCTGCTGGACTGTTTGAGTCATAACGAGACAACAGACAAGAGACTCGGATGGCGTCAGCATGCACCTCCTTGAGGCATTATATTCCCCCCTAGGTAGATAGAATATGGTTTTGTGGATATTACAATAAGATCCCCATATACCCCATATTCTATCTACTTAACTGGGACTATGGACTCTAAGGCAGATTTGTTTCTTGAGAAGGCTTCTTGGATGCAACACCCCGCGCATTTTTCTGCTCATTTTTCTTGCAGCGGTGCCGCCTCTCATGAAGCGTACTTGTTCCCTTGAGGATGAATGGGGAACCTTACCCGAATCAGAATTTATTTATGGCGTATTAGGCGCTGGTGCATGACAGGGTGGGGGGTGGGGGTGATATAGGATCAAATAATGTTATGTTTGATTTCTGCCGTCCTCAAATAATGGGAAGCCCCGCACAGGACTTTCTTGTTTTAGCGGCTATACGAAAGCACTGCCCTCATACTTTTCAAACCTTTCCAGACGCACCATATTGCGGGAACTTGTTCTAGGCAACTAACAGCTCGCAGGCTTCTTCAATCTCGGTGAGGTATGGTGTCTGAGCTACGTAGCCCCATACTTTGGGCTGCCAAGTTAGACCCACCTGTAAAGCCTCAGAAGCTTCAGACCCTGAAATAAGGTGTCACAATCCGCTTCGTCCGGACCATTGAGGCCCGGCGCTCCATTCTGCTTAATCTTTGAGACATGGAAGTATTGTCCCCGCACTTGCTGCAGCCAAGGTCGTCTTTTTTTTCTTTGTTGCTGCTTTGTTTGGCTGGTGTTGGTTTGTGCTCTGGTGATGCTGTTGCTGAAGCTGCTGCTGCTGCCGCTGCGATTTAGGTGTAGACCAGGGGTGTCCCTCCTGTAAGTCACTCGTTCACTCGTGCAGCCCGTGTACCCTCTGCGCGAGCTCCTCACCGCTGCGCGGCAGGCAGGGCAAGAACTTTGTGGAGGGTCCTGGATTGTGTGCGTGTTTTTGGAACGCTCGGGAGGTTGTTGTGAGGAGGTTAGAGACATGAGCTGCAACAGAGGAAGGCCCTGAGCTTTGGAAGGATTCTATAGGGCCTGGTGGAGATTCTTATCGGGGTCTTGTATGGATCCTAATTGTGGGGCGATGGGTTGCGGATGCAGGCTTTTGCGAAGGTAGTCGCTCAGGCAGAAGGTGAGCAGGTCGAGATGTCAGGTGTTCTATAGTTTTGGAGTTTTCGGGGTTAGGAGGTCGCTTTGAATTGCCCAGAATTTAATATGTCTCCCAACCAAGGGACAGAGGGAATGTTGAACATGAAGGCGGGTCTGCGGTCCACTATAGTCGGTCTAAGGGAAAATGACCTCAAACCATGACCAGGCCCAAGTGGCACTTAGGACCCCTACTAAGGGTTAACTCTTAGGTGCCTATTTGGGAGTATAAGAAAGTTGAAAACCCAAAGCGTTGAGGGTTTCAGGTCCAAGCTAAGTCCCAAAGAGAACCCTCGTGCCAAACCCTAACCCCTAAATACTCCCTAATTAAACACTTGGGACCTAAACTCTAATCCCTTAGCCCTTAGCCTAGGCCGTATTCCCTAAACTCCAAAACCCTACTCCCGAAGTCCTGAACCTTACTTCCTAAACCCAAAAGCCTAAACCTAATCCACATATCCTGAGACCTACCTCACCCGACCCCACCCTAAATGGTGGCTTATATAGGGAATAGTACCAAAATGGCCTTAAACTGCAAATGAACTTTTTCTAAATTCCCCTGATACTAGGGATTAGTGGGGTCATAGTCCCTTGGTAGTCCCAATACATCCTCAGGTCCCCAAGCCTTCAGATATCCCGGGTATCTAGGAATTGCCAGCTGCATTCGTCCTTTGAGAGGATGGTCCTGCTGGTACACACCGGCGGCTTCTGCATTTTCCGGGCAAAAAGGCTGAAAAGAGCAAGCAAGGTGGGATTATAGTAGGTAGATATAGGGCGACACTGGAGAATCAAACAGAAAATGGACCCTGCACTGGGAGTATATAGGGTGTTTAAAGCGTGTAGGATTTTGTTCGGTGTATGTAGGGCTCCTTGGGGGGGGGGGGCATAACAAAAAATCATGGGTCAAGTGGGAGTGTGCCTTCAAAATCTGGTGCAGCGGTCCTCATTTTGGTGATGATGGGCTCCACCTCTGCAACTAGATTCTGGGGGGTGAGTGATGAGGGTGGGCCATGTTGTGGGAATGCCTTACTTGTCATATGGGATAATGGAAAAGAAAATGGAAACTATAGGGGTTCTAGGGATCACATAGGGGTTATATAGGGAATTTTAGGGTATATGTATCGGCAATTTTGGGGAAATTCTGAAAGCTTGTACTTTTCAAGCGGCCCTTTGTACGATTTGACTTGGCCTGCCCGGCTATGCAGAGCAGCTGACGAACCCGAGTCTGCGAGAGANNGAGAGAGAGAGAGAGAGAGATTTCAGCCGTCTTTCTAACACGACATCATTCAAGAGTCGTGCAACCTCATGTGAGTTGAAAACAATAGGAAGACTGGCAAACACACATCATTGCAGGGGAAGTTGGATGCAGGCAGAGGCTTACCATCACAACAGCAGAACCATCTTTACAAAGCAAGATCCTTCGCAAGGATAGCACTGGGGCTTCGCTGTTAAGATTGGATTTGACCAAAAGGCTTGAATGTTTGCCTTGACATTCACTTGCGCAAAGGGATGGCCCCCCCCGGAGTGCAACAGTTTTTTGCGGACAACTGGATGGAAGTTTTTAACTTCACATGTAGTATATAAGTTAGGTGAGGGCTGCGGAGAAAACTTGATTACAAGACGACAAATGTCCACGAAAACGGGCAAGATGTCTCAACCGAATCGCTGACAGTTGCACGCTTAACTACAGAGCTTCTCCTACAAAATGTACGTTAGCTGTTCCATTCTCACTTCTCGGTGCGATGTGCTTGTTGTTTTTGAAGCCAGTCTTGTCGGCTTGCTGGACTCCTACATTGATACGACCTGCCAAGTCTACAAGACGAATAACGAAATTCCGAAGAAGAAGAAGATATTCGGATAGATATTCGCCATGTTTGGGCACGCTGCAGGGGGTGCAGCTTGCTACTTCCGCTCAACCGTCGAGGGGCCCATGGTCGAGTGTAGCTACGAAAACACTACGAGACAAGGCGTCATAATTTTGATGGGCTTGAATTGCAGATTCGGAAGCTTGTCGGACACTCTTGGACGAACAACACGAGAGTGGACAGGAACAAAGCATTCAGAAGAGTGCTTGGTTCCTCGGTCCATTGCAGACCTGCCTTCATCTTCCAGTGGTTGATTTGTTTCCTGAAGAGGAAGGAAGTAGATACAGTTGGGGTACTGCCCCCACTCATTAACAGTTGGAAAAATGTCCGTCTTGTAATTACATACAGCCCGTAGTATGAACCCTATTATAAGCTGTCAATGGGCGGGGGCTGCAAGGTACAGTGACTACTGCCTGCTAGACTACTGAGCGACTTGACATGCTGCCAACTGCACAAGTCCTTGAGGAAGATGGAGGTTTGTGTTTCGCCCCAAAGCTGCAGTTGGCCCAAGCCCTCACCACTTGGTGAGTTGTCCAGATGTTTTGAACCTAGCAGTTTCGGAGGCCCCTTACATACCCATACCCCAACATGCTAAAGAACCGCAAGTTGGGACTCCCAAAAAAGGGTCCCTCCCTGACCTCAAGGAGGCCCCCCCAAATCTTCCCAGGCTTATGGACAATGGCCTAGCCTACGGAATTGATTTTGGCAGGCCACAGACATGTCTTGTAAAGAGGGTTGTTCTCACAATTATGGCACCTTTGGGTGCCAATACTAGTATGGAAGAAAAATATTTTGTGGTACACAGCTGACATCCTGCTCTTGGAGGCCACGCAGGTGATGAGATCTAGAAGTGTAAAGAATAAGATGGGTGCTTCTCGAAAAATCATGCTATCGAATCCTTTCACTCGAACCTGTTAAAGTCCTGCGCAGAAACTGAAAAAGCCTAAAACTAAACGTGTGTTGGCTAACGTATCCGGTACAGCGGCCGCCCTATGTCGAAGTTGCAAAGGGCAGGTGCCAACCCTACGATTTTCCGGCGCCAGCGTGCCCCTTGGCTAAGGAATGCTGAGGGTTTCAAGCATAGCTGCTGGGTTGATGTTGACTTTAGGGTTACATTATTTGAATATATATAGGGTTTTATATAGGGATAATGGAAAGACAAAAAGGTTTAGGGATTCATGATTGGGTTTCATTAAGCATAAACTTAGGTTCAGAGGGGTGTGGTGGTTCAGCCGCGCGCCAAATTTAGAATAAGCGTTACCCTTTTACTGACTACTATTACTACGATGAGTGCTATGATCGTTTAACTGTGTTAACACGATTACGCTTCAAAGTTTCTCTTGTGCAAGGTATGGATGAATGTGGGCGGTTGTCCTTTTTGGATCCCTATTATAATACGGCGCCTAATATTTAGGGTACCCAAAAAGGGCCCACAATTTTGACAACCACCCATATAAACCTCTAATATAATCCCCATAATCCCTGTAGTTTCCATTTTATTTTCCATTATCCCAATATAACCCACCCATAAAAATATCCAACATATATAACTAAGAACAGTAGAAGGTAAGGATGCACCCTGAAGCCTTTGAGCATCTGAAGGATGCGGCAGGTAAAATGTGTAAGGTCTACAGATCCCGATCAGCAGGCCTGTCCGCAAGCTGCAAGTTGCCCAAAGAACATATAGTCCCCCTTAAGTAGATAGAATATGGGGTATGTGGGGATCTTATTATATTCTACCCAAAGCCATATTCTATCTACTTTAGGGGAAATTATAGACCCTAAACCCTAGTGCCAGATCCTACGCGGTTAAGGGTTTAGGGTTTGGGGTTTAGGATTTGGTTGTTTCCTCAACTAGGGGTACCCCAATATGAGCTATAGTCTAAACTCCTTAAAGTGGTTATATAGGGGATGATATAGGACTGTATTATAGGGGTTACGAAGGGGGATACCAGGAGTTTAGACTATGGATCATATAGACCCCCAATACACTATGGCACCACTCCCGAAATGGTACCCTAGTCATGGGAAGCCCCTATTTTGCCTTCAAGCTCGACACCATGCGCCCCAAAACTGTGCTTCATCAACAACCCAGAGAGCCCAACAAAACTAGGACCCTCGATACGGTTGAAGGTATATTCCTTAATTAAGCTATATTGGACTTCCTGGGAACCGCAATCTGCCCAGGAAACCTCCAACGTGTAGATACTTTGTGCACCGGTCAGACTCTACAACCCACCAGAATTTCGCGCTTCCCAAACCCCTGGACCTCTACGACTTGCTGGTCCTCCAACACCACGACCCACAGTCCGAGTTTAATATACCCAGACATTTGACAGCTTCTCATTTGATCCCCTATAGAACTCTTTAGAGGAGCACTATGCTCCTTTTATGACCCTCGTGAGCGCCGCTTGTTTATATACGTAGCTATGAGTCTAAACTCCTTAAAGGGTGTTATGTAGCGGAGCATTATACGGGGTATTCAGGGGATTGCAGGAGTATAGACCCTAAATCCTAATTCCTAAGCCGCGAACCCTCAACCCTAAATCCTAAACCCCAAACCCTGCTGCTATAGATCACATTTAAGGTTGGGTGCCTTGCTGCGTTCCTCAGCGCTGCTGTTGGGGTTTGGGCCCTCGCCACGCGTGGCACGAATCCCCAGCGATGCCCCCAAGAGGCAGAGTTGTCGTGGTAAGGGTTTGATGGACACTTTTGAAGCCCTTAACCCTAAACATGCCTAAACCGTAGCGGGTGTTGAATTTGGATGCGCTAGGTTGGACTTTATCAGGTTTTTCATTGAGGCCTGGTTTCGTTCCTAGGTCCCAACAGCACTTCTGGCCAGGGTACCTTTGGGCTATAATGAATACTACTGATGTTGCTCTCTATCTTTTCACGTGTCCGTCGGCTTGTGGTAGGCGATTCAAGCCCTCAAACACTTAGCCCACACTCCAATAGGCTTCTATTGCAACATAAGCAGTTTCATCAGCATCCATTGGCTTGCTTTCAATGTCACACTGCGACAAGGCAGCCTAATACTCAGCCTTTGTGAACAGGAAAATGTTTCAGGCTTGACCGCCTCTGGTTCATATGGTGCACTGTCAGGCTCCAGTTGGGTCTCAGCTTCATGTTTTCATGCAATTGTTTTAGCAAATGTGTATATTGTAGGCCGAGGTGGGTTACAGAGTAACGCTGATACTTTCATCGTTCATACTTTTATTCTTCCACAGTTTCTATTTCAAGGGTACTAGGGTTGTACCCCGGTCGTAAGTACTCTGAAAAGGATTGCCCAATGTGGCCTCAAGGTAGCCCTTATACAGTCCCATAGCTAAGTCTACTGAGAGAGGAGAGCACTGCTGGCCGTTCACATCCCGTGTTATAGGTGTAAGGGATCAAAGACCTGGCCCGGATGCCAAGGCCACCCTCAAAATCCTTTCTGCCAGCTGCCAACCGTTCTGAAGCTTGCGCCCCACGACCTCCAAGCCCTCCAAAGCAAAATGATGAGATTTGAGCTTCAACGCCCCATGCTGAAGTGCGCAAGCCCTGATGTAATCCATCATTGTGAATCCTGACGCTAGATTCCGGTATTCCTGGATGTTTGGAGGTGTGCAGCGTTTTTCGGGAGGACTTGGCGGGGAGTGTGGTGTGCCAAGGACAGGGGACACTTCCGGATTGTGTGATGAGCAGTAAGCTACCCTAAAACCCGCTGACGGCTACGTTGAGGAGCCCTTTGCTAGCCAGGGCTTGCTTAGACTAAGTGCCCCAATTACAAACCCCGTCCCAGCTCCCTAAAAATGAATGCTCACCTTAGCTTATAGCGGTACTTTGTGAGGAATGAATGTATGCTGAGGAACGTTCATTAGAGTAAGG